CGTGTTATTATTTGTGGTCCGGTATATATGTCGCTTTATACTGCGGAATTGTCGCGGCGAGAAAGTCGAGCGGGCGAGCGGGAAGCGAGGAAACGAGAAGAAAGGAAGAGAGAAGATATGTATCAATTAAATTGAGGTGGAAAGGCGCGTGCGCGTCTCTCTGTAAAATAACACAAAGGGAGATATAAAAATGTCGAAGGAAAGTCTTATTGCTAAGTAGAATGTGGTAAAAAGTGGGTGCTGCTCGAAAGAATTTTCAAATTTCGAAGAACTGTGATGCAGAAACTGGTAAACTCATCGCCGTAAATGCTGTAATGTACATTACGATTCAGCGCGACTGTCATCGTCGTATAGGAGTATCAACTTCACAAAGTATAATAGTAGCAACTACGTAGCTGCTGTAGTCGAAATTAAATGCAAATATTGCAAAGTCGAGACAACACTGCGCAAAGTCTTGGACTTGCACCTGCCCTTTTACGCAACACGCGGTGCCTTCCAAGACGAGTTTCGCTCGCAATCGGAAATAAGTACGAAACAAAACGGGCGGCTATCGCGCGGTTCACGAAGTATTACGAGTATCCCAAGTGCGCTGTTTAAAAACTTTCGCGCATTATCTGCATATGTTGCATCGTCCATATCCACCGCAGCGGTTCTGTAACGGCTGCGCTCACCACGATGATATTCGCCAGTTTTCTGATTTATTTCATCTGCGAAATACATCGCGGGCTCTGATATACTATCGCGCAATGCGAAAAATTCCCCTAATCTAAGAGAATAAAAACATTTGGAAAACATGAAATGTATATGGAGCCCGTGGTTTAGATGTACATGAAATACAAAGGTTTAATATGGTACGATGGAAACATTTTCATACTAAATTTTAGACTACTTTTGCCCGTAGAATTCTAATAAAATGCAATATAAATTGTATTTCCATAATACATTGTAATTTGATTTAAATTGAAATTAATGTAATTAAATATTGTACAATCGGATCCTATCTCGCTCTCTCTGTCTCTCTGTCATTCTCTTACTCTTTATTTTTATTCTTCCATATTGGACAAATTTCATGTCGAGTAATTTAAATAGAATCACCGTTTCCATTATGCCAGCGGGCGTTTCGCTTCGCGGGTAGATTTAACCGACGAATAAATATGTTACTCATCTAGTGAACACCTTGGCATAACGAACGAGAGGAGCGAGAGAGAGAGGAAGAAGTCCATCAGGAAAATTGAACAAAACTCAAATTGATCCGGAACTCGCGGATCCCCGTGGCTTTTCGTCGAAGCTTTCGCTCACTGTTCCCGACAGTAATTAAATAAGCCGAGTTATACGGAGGAGGAAAGTTCGCGAAATTCGCGAACGCGCCGCGTGTACGTTAAAACCGTCCGGCCTCTGGAAGTTTGCGAACAAACGTTATTGCACGACAAAGGCATCGCTATGCGATATCATCTGCCGTCATATTTATGAAATCTCACGATTATCGTAGACGAGACTATCGCCGTTAGATTCCGAGGAGAGGAACGTGGAGAGAACAGCACAAAAGCTACACAGATTCAAAGAACTTTATGTGTCTATAATATATATATGTAATTATAATTATATGATTATCAGATAATTATAAAACTTTTAAAAGTATCTACTTTAATTTAATTTAATTAAGAATGAGGTGTCTTATATAAGCTATTACTTGTATTATATATACCGTTAAAGCTTATTTTCTAAAAGATATTCTACTTCTATTTGAGTAGTTTATAATTTTAAAAAATGTTCATCGTATCTTTTTATTAAGAACTCGAGTTTTATCCAAGAATTTGTGTAAAAAGTAATTGTATGATATTATCTAGATAAAAGGTGGCTCGCTAGATCAAGAAAATCCTTTAATTTATGTGGCGATAGTGGATGGTTTTTTTCCCTCGGTCTGAATACAAATTATTTTTTCTTCTCCTAGTGAGAAAATTTTTATACACTTTTATTTGCTTTTCCGGCTGAAAAATATATGTTAACGTTTATAAAATTAGAGAACGTTCTTTTCAAAGCACCCTTTTGTTCTAAAATCGACTTTTCGTAAATTTTGAAGAATTACTAGAAAGAAGAAGATATGTTATAGTTTTGACCAAATTGTTGAACAGAATATGTTCGTTTGATAGTTTTCGTTAGAGACTTGTGGAATAGAATTCGTAGGCAGTGAGAGAAGCTTCGGTATTACTGACACTGATTTATTGGTACAATTATACACAGTTGGAAAATTTGTTTTCTTGTTAAAAAAATGCCGGTTAAAATTTTTTTAAATTCATTTTGTCATTAAAAATATGTTAATTTTACACAAAATTTATTTCAAATTATTTTGAGATTGTGTTAAAATATTAACAGGGTATTAGTGTGATCATTGAACATATCCATATTATGTTAAATTAACACAAAAATTTGTGTGGACTGTTCGGGACATGTGATATCTGTTAAATTTAACCCAAATTTTCCAACTGTGTACATTTGAAAAATCACGGCAACAAGACAGCAGACAAGGTAACAAACATCAAGTAAGCAAATAGCGCGGTGGAGGGCGCTATATAAAACTTTTAGATTAGAAAAATGCAAAATTTTTTGGCGGGCAAATTACAATGTTGAGATTGTATCGCGGGCCGCAGTTTATTACTTTAAAGCCTATATCGTTTGCTTTCTTTCTATTAACCAGGAAACACCAATAATTCGGAGTTAAAAGTTTCTTTTTCAATTTTTCCGTGGGAAGCTTGGACGTCGTAAGCGGAATTGGGTAGTTTGAGGGCTGGATCCGACTCACACATCGGTAGTTGCGTATCCCTGTTTTAGAGTTTTTTTTTGCATAGGTCTAGTTGTTTAGTAATTCCTCCAACATTTTTGGACGAATTATTTTCGGAAATTAATAACATGCAAATAAATCAAAGTTATTTTTGAATTATTTTTAATTCCAATTCTTACTTAATTAATGAATGAAATTAATATTAAGCTCATATTAATTTATGAAAGACTCAATGGGATATTTGAAATAAAAACATCATTACACATAATAATATAATATACAATAATGTAATACAATATTGATACAGCTGCGGAATCCATAGCAATGCAATACTTATTTGTTGAAATCAACACAACACGTTAATAAATACAACAGGAAAAACAAAGAAAAGGTTTTAAATTGCTAACGCGAATCGTAACATATTTCCACGAGACCATGTCTAATAACTAACTCCAAAGTGTTTATGTATTTATAATGCAAAAGTCTTAGAGACGATTTTCTTTTTAAGTTCAAACGATTGTCCTCTATCGATTGAATATACAAATATTACAATAAAATAAGATACGAAACAAAGATGTTACGATATTATAAATATTGAACATTCTTTTAAAAAGTTTTTATCATAAATTTTTTGAAAATCAAGAAGGTCGACAAAGGTAAATGTCTCAGATATTAGTGTTTTATCTGGATTATTAATACATTTTTTTATGTACAATAAATAAGAAACTGAATATCTAACAATTAGAAAAAGAGCCTTCATAAATTTCAGTCTAATATTTATCGTATGTCTGTTCTAAATGTTATAATTATACGAGCTAAACGATTTGAACAAGTTCATATCAAGTTTTATTACTTTAAATGTACGATTATTAATTTAAATATATAATTTATGTATATATTCAGTGATTGATAAACATTCTCATATGCGGACAACTGCGTAGGATTATACGAATTTTAAATAGTAGGTAATTGTGCTTGGACATTGGATTTTGTAATAATAAATATGTATTAGTTTGTGATATACATTATTTATTTTATATTTAGTAAAGATAACATTAAATCTGTATTACCGTATCATGTAATATTAAATGTACAACAATGTTTCCTTTCATCAATATTAATCTGTAATACTCAAGAAACATCTATCAAAAACTTGTCAAAAAGCTTCATGGTAGAACGCTGTTAGCGTTACTTCTGCAAGCACCGTACGTACAGAAGATTGTAATCGTACAGAGATTTTAGAAAAGGACAGAGGAAGTTACGAGGACGACGTTTCTTAAATAGATATTTCAACAACAAAACTTTGCATCTTAGGACACATAGTAAAAATGAAGATACCTGTGTTATATAATTTAAATCCAAGTTCGATTACAGTTAATAGGAACGGCTAAACTTTTTGGGTACCGCAGTGAGATGTGAGATCCTATAATCTCAGATATTCGCAACTGGCTATCACGCGTATAGATACAAAGGTACGATCTTATACACGCACTACGCGTGTCTCGGCGCGAGACATTACCGTGTCTTCGGATGCAATTGTAAAGTCCTCGATTGTTTAACAATGTCAATAAGTGATATCAGTTTAAAATACTTTTACGCGCATATTAAAATGTTTTTGTGGATGTATCGTATTATGTATTTCTTTGAAAGAATAACATTCGACGAAAAAAGTTCTTATTTATCGGGGATACCATCGATCGGTGCGACAATGTGTCCACGTCCTCTCTATGGATGGAAGAGGAGAATGTTTTTCTCTAAAGAGCAGCCCCGTGATGGAGAAACGATATGCCGTTACGTATCGACGTGCTTGTAATGGAGCTGTCGAGCAAATTTTCTGTGATACAGAGCCGGAGGCGCGCATCGTATCGCGTCGACTTTAAATACAATGGAAATCGACCCTTATCGCCTCGCCGTCACCTCGATGCTTCGAGGACGATCGGTTACTCATTATTCGCACTTAAATCCATCAAAAAGTTCGGAATGGAGAGAGAAAACATGCGCATTATTGTTTTCGAGAAAATCTTTTAAGGAAGAAAAATATATAATGAAAATCTATCGTTAGATATCAATCAAGGTGTAACAAATATTGTTTGATATCAATCAGAGAATAACACATGTTACCAAAATTTTCTGAAATAATTTTATTAAATAAATTCGACGATTATGAGCCACAGTTGCAACACACAACGCTCAAGCAAAACTTTCCAATGTTCTGTTTCAGGATCATCATGCGCAAGTTTCTGTACAATTCCTTCATCCTCGAACTGTTGCTGCTGACAATCTTGTTCGCATCGTCAGGCCTGGCGGCGTCGAAGACACGTAGCAGAAAGAAACTCGTCAAGGTAGCGAGCCCGGTGAACATTTGCGACATTCAAGGCCAGCAGTCGCCGATCTTTTGCTACTGCAACAACGTCACGCTGAATAATGCCAGAAACATCGATTGTTGGGTATTGGGCTACTTCGATCGGGATGACCCCATGTGGAGTCACTTCGCGACGTCGCAAGGTCATCTCGAAAAAATGACGTTTACGGTGCGTCAGAGCGGCAGCATCGACCACGTGCCCACTCGGCTGCTGCACGAACAGAAGAATTTGCGCGAGTTCGTGATCCAATATGGGAAGATCCCCGAGCTCGCCGAGCACACTTTTAGCAATCTCAACGAAATTACCCAGATCAACCTCCACCGCAATTCGATCACTGTGCTGCGCAAGTACGCCTTCGAGAACATGCGAAATCTCACTGTCATCAATCTCGACGATAATCACATCTCTGAGCTTGATAGGTACGGATAACTGATAGTTGGCTGGCAGCCGTAGAGATGGCTATGACAACTTTTTATCGAGCCTGTTAATCTAACGAACAAGACTTTATTCGTTATTTCTACTACATAAGTTCTATTCTCATCACATCATCTATTATTTGTGCTATTTGTTTTACTTGTTGTTGAGAAATACGGGTATAATGTACAAGCTTAAAAAATAATCTCAACAAAAGAACGTTGATTTACACACACACACACGATTTAATTATTAAAAGATTATGCGTGCTATGGAATTTAGTTTTTCCACGCGTTATCGCATTTTGATATTAAATATAAGTGCATTTTATTTGAGAATATTTTGCGTCCATTTATTTTAATATGATAATATACGAGAATATGCAATACCGTTTCGGATATATCAATGCAAGTGATAATTGAATTAAACGAATAAAAATTTGATGCAAAGAACTTGAAGCTGCAATACCAATTAAAACTTTTATATTAAAAACGGTTATTATTTTTACTATTAAACAGTGCCTATACATTGTATTATATATATATAATTATTTATAATACTATATCACGTCATTACATCTATTTTGGTAATTACTTTTTAAATTATAAATAGAAAATGTACATAAGGCTTCTATATAAAACAACTTAAATGAACGAAAGTAACGGTAGAGAACGTTTAGGCAATGTGAGCTGTCACCCGTTGAAAATGGTGTAAAAAATATATATATATATCGCATTATTAACAGATTTTTAATTCAAAAATTATATCGTGTAATAAACTAATTAAATAACTAGCCAGTTGGGTTGACTTAAAGTTTCCCGTCTCAATTTTTAATCCTAAAACCACATAATATCAAAATACAATTGTACGCTTCGGTCTGCAAAAACGACCCTCCTCAGCAATAAATTAAAGATTAAACATACTCCGAACCATAAAATTCGACGTTATGAGATAGCGCAACTCAATCACACTCATTATAATGACGGCTATGATGGGCTATCTCATAACGTCGAATTTTATGATTCGGACCGAGTGTGTTTAATCTTTAATTTATTGCTGAGGAGGGTCGTTTTCGCAGACCGAAGCGTACAATTGTATTTTGATATTATGTGGTTTTTGGATTAAAAATCTGTTAATACCAATGCGATATATATAAAAAAAATTTTTTACACCATTTTCAACGGGGACGGTTCACATTGCCTAAACGTTCTCTATCATTACTTTCATTAATTAACAAAGATCAGTAAAGAAGTAAAATTTCATTTAACTAACAAACGTGAATATGTACATAATATATTGAACAGTTTTGAATAATTGTTTACAGAGATACATTTGTGAACTTGGCGAGCTTACGCAAGCTGTACCTGAACAACAACAACATTAGCGTCATTCGCGACAAGGTGTTCTATTCCCTAGGCTCGTTGCAGGAACTCGAGCTGAGCAGCAACGAGTTGACAGGCATCTCACGCAGTGCGTTCCGTGGTCTGCGCAGTTTGCTACGCCTCGATCTACGCGGCAATCAGATCAGCACACTCCCCAATAATTGCTTTACAGAAATGCCGGAATTAACCGAACTCGAGCTTGATCAAAATAAGATCGAATTTATAGACACAAGAGCATTTGACAACATGTATAAGCTCCGGAAGTTGCGGCTCAGCGAGAATCAGCTGAGGACATTGCTGCCAAACGTCTTAACTGGTGCACCCGGCATTTCCTTTTTGGATCTTAGGGACAACTTGCTGAAGACTGTGACTTTTGACAACATTAAACCAATCGTGACCAATTTCTACCACAACAACAGCTACTTATACCTGGGCGGTAAGTACTTTAGTCATAATTCTTTATAGAATTGTAAGAAACATCTATTTGTAAATCTTGAAAAAAATTATCTTGAGAATTGTCAAATTTATCGTTTAGTAGAGGACAATTTTAAATAAAAATTGGATAAAAATTCGATAATGTCGCAAATATGTATATTCGAATCTAAAATAAGAATAAAAGATTACAATGTATCTCTCTTTGAGGACAAAGAGAGTTATTCAAAATTTTTGAATAGCAACGTTAAATCACTCGCAGTGAATTCGTGATCAAAGTAATGAGATTGACTGATCAAAGCATATCACCGTATCTGCATGTAGAAAACAGTCTCAAGTGCAACTGCAAACTCGCGTGGATTTGGGGCCTGCGAAACGAGACGAAGAACATGAAACTGAGGGATGCCCTGGAGGAGCTAACTTGCTTCCTTGAGAGCAATAATGCAACGCAGAAGATCTACCGCGAAGACCTGGAGAGAAATCAACCGCGCGGAATTTCTAGTAAGTTTTGCTTCACGCGTGAGCGCGTGCGCGAGTATGAATGCCTTTCGGCGAAATTTATCTCAGCTTTGTGTCAAAAAGGCAAAGTGCAAGATTTATTCAATCTAGAAGCGTATATTCTATCTGCTATACGAATATAAGACATAGAGTTCAATTTTATATGCACTTGTCGACAACAGTTAAGAACAAAGTCACTTCTTCTCGCATATATAAATCACTTTACCTGTTTTGCAATAGTGTAAAATGTAATTAAACTGATGAATGTCACATACAAAAATACTTTATGGTTTATTATATTAAACAAGAGAGAGAGAGAGAGAGAGAGTTTGTGTCGAATTTCTTATTTTATTAAACAGAATCATATTGTATTGCATTTACAGTCGACTACAGTAATTCGAGAGACGATAATAATGAGGACGACGACGGCAACGGCAACGAAGATGATGATTATTATTATGACCACGAGGCCGAAGATTCGCCAAATTTTCGCGGCAAGGTAGGATATGCACACCAGCTTGTTGAGATTGCGCATAAATTCGATGAACTTTTTCGAAATATCTCTTGCTACGTTAAGCCAACGGCACACGGTGCTATTTTTCCTACTGGATTGCTTGCGTTTGTCCTCGATGATCTCTTAAACTAATGAACCGATTGACTTGAAATTTTAACAAGTTTCCTTAACTAGTGAGGAGTGTCATAGGCTACGTATTTTCTGCTTTGCGTATCAGGAGAGCGCGCATGGGCAGATAATTTCTTTAAATAATTGATCGATCAATTGAAATTTTTACGCAAGTTCTCTTAGACTCTCGGAATGGTCATAGGTCATGTTATCCACTTTGCGCATCAGGGTACAACGCATGTGCAGCTCAATTCTTTAAATAATGCACCGCAATCATCAATTGTACCAATTGAAATAATTTTTAGGCAGATGGAGTGCTTTGAATGTTAATTTCTTCTACTTTCGATAATTTTTTAAAAAAGACTAAATTATGTGTTTCCAAAAACACATGTAAAATGTGGATAAAAATTAATTGCCCAAAAGACTATAGGAGAGATATTTACGCGACTATTTTTCATTTTCAAACAAATGATAAACAACATGACAAAATATTTGCTACATTCATATACTTAAAATGATGTAACTATTCACTCCGCATTTCCAAAAGACAAGTTGCCACTCACAATCAGAAGCAGGATACCCCTGGTTAGAAATTTAGGGCTCTTCTTGATAATTCGTAAAATTGAAGTTTCTTTTTATCACGCGAGAGCCGTGCATGTGAAACCGCGGGCGAGGCCGCGGGGCATGCTATTTTATATATACTTGTAGTGCAAAATTCTATATGGTTAGAATCGAATATCTCAAAAATAATACATACAGGCCATATAGTAAAAGCTATTGGATTTTGTCTGTGTCGTTGGTTCAATTAATTTTTGTACTGTACACATACGCATAGGTATGTTATATCCTGTGGACAAAACGTCAGAATCTCTTTAATTGATTGCGTGATACTACGTAGATCATTTTAATTTTGATTTGCAGAACAATCGTAACAGTGAGCAGTGCTGCAGCAAGCATCTATTCGAATTGAAGCCAGAAGATTTGCCATGCCCAAAGCGTGAGGATTTGATGGCTTCCGAACAGCCATCCAGTCACCATGAAAACGCTCGCGTGGGCTCCGGGTCCAGCTGGTTTAGCTCCAGTTCGACCTCGGTCAAGGCCGGTCAGTCCGTCCTCGTTGCCTCATTGCTATTGCTAGCCGTACTTTTTTTCACGTAGAAGTGGCTAAGCGCTCCAAAATAAAGCGATATTAACGCCATTCTACGTCCCGATATGCTCGAGTGAGCAAATGGAAAATCGTACATATAAACGAAATGGGACGCGAAAGAAAGTGTATGTTTATGCGTGTGTATGTGTGGGTGTGTGTGCGCGCGCGCGCGCGCGCACTTACGTAGGAGACTAACTGGACAACCAAGAGACGTACCTTCGAAACTTTCCAGGGCGCTTACAGTTATCGTTTATTACACGAGGTCTCTCTTAAAAAGAACTTTAAAAATGTTGCACGAACGTGACTGCGTATTCAATAATGCATAGCGATAGGCAAGATCGCTAAGTCACAATTGCGCAGCATCGAAACGCGGATACATTTCTACGTTATTTTTAAACTTTGAAAATTGTTTTTTACATCTCGTGCATTTACCATTTTTTGAAATATGCTATCATGCAGAGGTTAACAGGCCAATTAATGAGATATTTTTCTTTTGTAATAATATCTACATATTTACTGTGTTTTCAACGTAAGCCGAAACGGTAGCATAAAAATGACAAGGTTGCACATAATGTTTTATTTTACATAATATTGATCGACTTCGGGCTCAAATACGCTCCCTATAGTGTATGTCATTCCCATATTTGTACAGTATGTATGCATAATTTTACTGTATGCATTATAGGAATACTAAAAAACACCGCGTTTCTCGTTAGCTATTTCGCTTGCGTAACTACTGCCATTTACCGTAGTCCATTATCATATTCAGCTAATTTTGTCCGAGACAATGGGTCCAGCAATAACGACTCCGAATATTGATGTAATTACAAACTTGCCAGAAATTGAGATATTGCCGTATAATTTAGAGTTAATATTAAAATTGTGATAGTGAAAATAAATAACTGAATTTTTAATTTTTGAAAAATAATTACAATAATCGTCCCTCTTTTTCAGTGGGTTTATTCGCTCTATCTTTAGAAGTAGATCCAACGTTTTGATAGAAGTGTATTTTTAATTACGTTTTTTGTCTTCTTACAGCCTCTTAGGAGAGGATGCCATGAGATATTAAATACTGCATACTGCCAGTTTTGCGCGCTCAATTTTGTGAACGGTTGTAAAACTTTGATATAAACTTACATGATATTTGTTTTAATATTGCTTTTCGATTTTTTATAATCTTTTAAACAACATCATAAAACATATTGAGCATTGCCAATTCTCATTAATTAATCTCTAAGACTATGATCAAATCCTCATACACTCCACATTCTTAATATCTCTATTCTCAACATCCCCATACTCATTATAACAATTATGAACTCCGTATTCTTAACATCTGTTCCTGCGCTGCTATATGTATATGAATGTTAAGGGGATGCTGGAGTGATTCTGCACTTTTGCACCTTTCTAACCTAAAAACTGTCAGTTCGCGGAAACATTTGTGTAATATACAAATTAAATGGCTTACGTGTACAGATCGAAAGCAGCTCGCTATTCCGGCCAAATGAGAGAACAATATGGCATCACTGAAACTACGTTTGTAAGTCTAATAAAAAATAATAGTGAGCAACACACATGCTACATGTACTGTATGTATGTGTTGCTCACTATTATTTTTTATTAGACTTACAAACTTAGTTTCAGTGATGTCATATTGTTCTTTAATTTAGCCGGAATAGCAAGCTGCTTTCGATCATCTGTACACGTGCCATTTAATTTGTGTATTACACAAATCGTTCCACGAAACAGACAGTTTTAAGTGCAAAAGGTGCGAAAGTGCAGAATCACTCCAGCATCCCCTTAATGATTCATATTTATATCATATAACCGTGATCACCTGACTATAATTAAAGAAATCAATGAAAAATCGAAGGATGCCGTAAGTAAGAGGGTTCCTAGAAAATTATATAATATAATAAAGATTTTTTTATGTACACGTAAGCATGCGTATACATATATGCACGTGCATATCGTGCCACGCATCGAATTCAACGTGCAGGCGCGAAGAAGAGAAAGAAATACAGCAATTATTTTCTCATTTTATTTAACTTGACTTTCCCCCCAGAGTATTGTCGGCATGGAAATTCGACCCAATCATTTTTTTATCAATTATGTCTAATGGCTAATTCATATTTATTTCAGGGTTGTAGGAAGGCGTCCCAAATATGTTTCCGAATGTGGAGGTTACTCCTTATCGTAATATGTTAAGAATACGGAGATTTGATTGTATTACTACAATATTTAGATTTGGATACATTATTTTTAACATTAAGTCAATAGCGATGATTATCTTACGATTATCTTACGATGGACAGGTGGTTTTCAATCCTCGTAAAACTTAATATCTTGAACATCAAGAACATCAAGAATTGATATAGTTAAAACATTTTTAAGGAAAACTTGAGAATGACACGGATACGATCAGGATTTAATATTGTTTTAGATATTTAGCAACAAAAGGGACAAAGGCAATTGGATTAGTTGATTACGAAAGTGCATAAGTCATGTTGACTAACTTTTTGAAAAATCGCAAAAACATTTTTCTCTTAATTTTATCGTAGGTGTTATTTCAGTACGCATTTGACGCTTAGAAATAAGTGCTTAGGAAATGTCTCTAAGAAAGCTGAGTAATAATTATGCATCTTTTTTTTAAACGTTGCCTGCAAGAGATGTCAATATTTCTGTAGCCAATAATGCAGTCGATGCTTTTCTCGTATATAACATATATTGCGGATCAAGAAATTATGTCATGTTATCTCAATTTCATAAAAGTGATGTCCATTTTATAATAACTGATTCAATTATATACGAATTATTTAATATTCTATATAATTAAAATATTCTATTTCAATAATATAATATTTCTGTTTACTCTGAATGTATAATTATATTATACTTAGTAGAAGGAAATATATACTTTTTATCCTACGAGATATATTTCTTGGTATATGTGAAATGAGACTGAAAACAAGGAACTTTTCGAGCGCTAAGCGTTTTTATCATTCTTCTTACGAGATTATAATCGTGATGTTTTTGCGCGATATTTAGCGAGCAATTTCACAACGATTACGTCTACGATCTGTTTGTTTGAGGTGCACTTTCTTGCGCTTTTTTCATAAAAGCATTTAAACTAAATGGACTTATATTTTAATCTTTGAATGAAGATGAAGAAGAAAAGGAATGAAATTAAAAACGGAAAGCGCAACTGGAGCGAACAGACGTAATTTGCAACAATCAATTAGTAAGAAACGCACGATATGGATAACGTGAAACATAGCCTACCCCTATGGAACAATGATAAAGAAAAAAATTATTAATAATGTTGAGGTGTTGTTTGTCATAGTATATGCGTTGCCATAGTATCGTGATAATGTTTATATAATATATGAAACGTCGAGTCGTAAAACGACATCGAAGGAGACGCAAGAAAGTCAACTTTCGCCTGTTTTTCAAATTATGTATGTATGTTATGATTTAATCTAGACAGATCTCATCAGGTCTATTAAAAAATATAATTTGCAAATGTTTGTAGTCTAAAAGTATTTTCTGTTTGACATTTTTTAATTTTTACACACAAAGGTCTAATTACTCAAGTCTTTTTAAGAAAAGCAATTTTATACACATTCTTTACTTTAACATGTTTAAATTGCTTTACAATTTAATAGCTTTTACTTTTTAAATATCTAAAAAAATATCGTAATATTTAACGTTTGAATTTGAATTTTATTATTTCTAATAAAAATGCAAAATGTCCTTTTATATTTACATGTCTTTTAATTATACTTTCAAATTGCATTATAGCTAAGAGGCTTTATGAATGATGGAAATATTAAAAGACGGATTAGATATGTGTATAAGAACAAAAAAGTTACGCAACTAAAAAATGCATAAAATTATGTTCTAATCATTTGACTAATTTGTTTTTATCCCTCTATATATAAAGAATATGTACAAATATAAAACAATATTTTTGTGAAATTGCTATTTTACGTATAGTTTTTATAGCTTAAATTAATAAATTAACTATTTAAAATCATTGCCACGGTAAAATGCGTACTCTTTCTGATTTTTTAATGAATAAATCGTCGATTCTTGCTGTTCGCTCGATGCCATGGTGCGGCATGACACCTGTTGTCGATTGAAAGAAATACGCGTATAAATTGAAAGGGGTACTGCGTGCACAACACGTTACTGGGTCGTTTATAAGATACAAAATTAAGCCATAATAAACAAACATATTTAGGGTCATAAATTTCCGATGAAAAGAAATATTATTAACTAATTTTCTTTATGTTCTCGTGACTACTGAGGCACGTATAGTCCGACGAAACATTCAGGACATTTTATTAGGACCATTAATTATATCTCTATAGATGACTTCTCGTTAAAAAGAAACAAGTGATAAGCGAGTCCGATCATGTAAGGCATTTAACTTATAGATACCAAAGATAAGAAAAGTTTGGTGTTAGCTGTTAGGAATCTCTCTCTCGTACACGTTTATGATCTGCCTGGTCGCACTAAGTAAAATACATAAACTAAGTAATTATTAAATCTGGTAAATGAATGCAAATGCGTACACTGTCACTCTCGAGTCGCTGTAAGTCAAAGTAACACGGGACCCCATGAATTTTCCATAGGGTTTCCTTCTTTCTCTTTTTCTCACTCTGCTATTCTTTCATATTAGTAAAACTATTGAACGAGAAAAGAGATTGTCATGAAATTGAAGATTAATTGGCGACTGGATTACAAATTCAATTAGGAAATTAATAATTAAGATAGATAATCGAACAATTTGCTATCTTGTTTTCCATAATTCACTCTGCAATTCTCCCGCTTTATCTCTATCCTACAATTTTCATATGACTTTTAATATGTATCGCTATATCAGACGCGTTTATTCGAGTAAATTGATTTATTAAAGCAACTACATTTTATATATTCGACATATATGCGCGTTTCAATATATGTCGGGTACATTTTATAACGTACCAAAACATATTCCTTGGGAGAATGCAATGATTTTTCATATATGTACAATTAATTGAAGTTAAGTGAATACAACTATAGTAAATTAGGTTTAGTCTACTTATGGATTTACCGTCAAGCTATAATATGTATTATATGTTCTTTTGTAAGATTTAACGATAATCGGAAATAAATTGTCGAAAAACATAGAAACTGTATACCATTCCTTCACGTCCAATAATTTATTCCCGGCGAAATTCATCCTATCAATTTTGCATTGCCCAGTAATATTAATAAAAATTGTTATAAAAAATTGTTATGGGAAAATGATTATTCTCATACACTTACTTATACGGTGGAATTCTTTATTCTGTTTCCTTCGGTGCGTTTTAACTCAGTCTTTATTTTAAAATATTTCTCGAGTACTTGATTTCTACTCTCGCAGACATTTTCCATTATACACTAGCTATGTAATCATTTAATTATACACAGAACAATGAATGAACATGGTACGCAAAATTTTCATTCCACGTCTGTATTATTAGAACAATAGTACGAAATGAATCAAAATATAAAGGTACTTGAAATTTAGTATATTATATTACAGAGATATGAAGAGAATTATTTGTGCAATGTGGAAGGTGCAAACAGGTACTATTTATTAAGTAAAGTAATTATATTAGAATATGCTATAATACTTAATATTTTCATGGAAGCTTAAATACTATCGTGAGACTTGCACTTTGTGTATTATATATTGCGCATTATATACACATGTTAAATATTGCCCATGGTTATATGCTCGTTGGGACGAGTGTTATCGTTTCGACTTTTTCCGAATTCGTGTGGGAAGGAGTCATCTTCCAGTTCCCAGACTACTTCATCGTCAAATTTCTGCTGCTCGGTAACCCAACCGCACATCATTGTGCGCAAAAGTAAACCTATAAAATGAGTTATGTCAGATGAAATAAATAAGTGAAATCAATGGAGTGATAGAAATAATTGACTCAAACTAGACAAATTATAAAATTCAATTTCAGAACAAAATAAGTTTTAATTAAAACGTGGAGCAGCCGTTGACTAATATTAGTTTATGCTAGTAAAGGTCTGAACTAATTTTAATATACCGACTTTTATGTGAACCAAAAATCAAATTGGCGATTGTTAGTGCATATAGGAAAGAAAAATAATTGTATTACTACACATACATCAGTGCTTCAAGCTCGAATTGGTCTTTAATTAGATTTTATAATCTATATAATTTAGTGGAAAAAGTATTGCATTATTGAGTTTATATCAAAGAGATGTATGGAAAAAAAGAGAAAGGAGCGACAAGAGAAGAGAGCAGAAGGATAGTGACAGGAAAAGAGAAAGGAAAGAAGGGAACAGGAAAGCAGAGACAAAAAAGGAAGAAAAAGTACAGAAAGAGAAGAAGGGAAAGAGAAGGAGAGAGAAATGTGGCAGCAGAAAGAGAAGATATGAAAAATACAGGAAATGAAAGATCAAATAGGAGACGGAGAAACATAAAGAAAGAGAATGTCTCTAGCATCTCACTATAATTATATGAGATTATGTTAGAAAATTATCTAATTTTTTCTATTATACGTTGTAAAATAAATTAATTTTTTATTTATTATGACTGTTCTTTGATAGATTTATGAAATGTCAAAAATTCACTTCTTCATTGATAAATAGCTGCAATATTCATGACAAATATTGAATTATTTAATATTAATAAAATTTATTTTGCAAGAATGTAAAGTATGCATTTATTTATTAATAAAAAGTAAATAAAAATCAAGTTTTTATCACATTATGTTTATAGTATCAAATAAGCGAAGAAACTACTTTATTTCAACGTACGAATAAAAAATTCATAAAACTGCTTATTTTTATCAATAATTAAATTGGTTATAGTAATAAATTCTATTTGAAAATTCATTGAACAGAATAAAAATTTTCTTTTATATCTCTAGTGTTTGTCACAATATGCGCCGTGGAGATTGATTAGAAGTACCCGTTATTAATCCAGAAACAATAGAGATCCCAAGGGTGACCGCCAGCGCCAGTAATTGATATCCCGCTTGCTGATACGCCGTCCTATTGAGTCCCGGTGATATTCCATAATTGTCGCGCATCTCGCTAATTTTTGCCTCTGAGCTTGGCGCTCGTGCAGGAAAGATCTATTAAAATAAATGCCATTAAAAATGATTAGTTTCAATTAATAATTATTATAAATTACTATATGGCATAAAATTTGTAATATCTTAAAAGAACATTTGGTTTTTAATCATTTTATTTTTAAATTCTAAATGTTTATGCATATGTTTTGGTAGAAAACAGATATAAAATAAAACTAAAATTAAAATACATTTTATCATATGTTATACGTAAAATTTTCCTTTCTTAAAACAGATACAGTTTACTGAGAAAAAGTATACAAAATTCACACAGAATTATAGGCTACCAAGATCCAGCTCGACTGACAAAATAACATTTTTTTTCTAATTAATTGTAATAACAGATATAATTGAAATAGTTAGATAATGTTGAATCTAAAATGACTATCATCTCTTTATACGGACGGGATTCTGTGCGGTACATTATCGCGAAAATGATTAAAAATTTCGTTGGCCTAATTATCGTTCCGCACAGCAACGTAAATGAGAGTTAATTACACGAAAACGACGAAATGATTAATTCAAGGCAACGGAATTACGTACTTCGTACAGAGAGTAATCATAAGAGGCTTCTGTGGCCAGACTTGCCATAAGAGCCCCAAAAAATGCAGCCAGCACACCCGGCATCCCATGTAAATTATGCACCCCGCAAGTGTCATGGATATGATAACGTTTCTGTATAATTGGCTGAAAAAGGTAAAGAAATTGATATAGTGATTCAATAGAAAAGGAATAGGTAAATATATTTTTGAGATGATTTTAAAAGTTTAATTAAAGATTTAAAAAAATATGAAAATAATACAAAACGCGGTTTATAAGTTTTAGTACAAAGATTAGGAATAAAAAAAATTTAAATTAGAGAAAGAATTAAATAAAAACAAGCAAATGAAATATTGTATTTATATTATTAATAGATCTCTTTAATATATGCCCATAACTTTGCACGGTCGTGCAATTTATTCGTTGAAAAGTCCTCAATTGATGATATCTAACTTCTTCGTCAAGCTGTGGTGAATGTCTGGAATATCGGCAAACTGTTGTTGAACTTTTAATTGCATTTTTAAACCAAAAATAAAAATGGATGAAGAGTACTTTAAATAAATAACTAAATTATGTGTACCTATTTATATATTTCTTATACATACAGGAATCATGTAAAATAAACCTGTTTCCGACATCTAATATATTTTGGTACTATTTTAAAAGAACTATAATGGATGTAAATGTTTAAAAACTGACAATATTCTTGAACTATCTAATGTATTATATATTCCGTGTGCTCAAAGTACTTTTTTTTTGTTGGCATAGCGAACAGAAGTTTATACCTATAATTACAGTTACATCAACAGATTCACCTCACTATTTTTTTGTACAAAAGTATTAAATGTAATCATAGTTTGCTTGTGGCAATTTTTAAATATATGATCATCGAAAAGTTAATATTTTATCAGATGTTTCATTTTAATTTATTTTGATGAGTTAAACATATAAAATATCTTGTTGATAAAACTACTAATTTTTTTACTAGTGGTTTTAAGTAAAGGATAAAAAGATATGTATTCAAGAACAAGAGTGACTATTTGATTCCATGATAATCTCCGTTATTACCGTAAGATATTTGTATCCCAGCACACTAATAATACCGGATACAGCGCCAATGGTCAAAGCACCCACTGGTTCACACATCATACCTGTGTGCAGTGAGAAAGTCCGAATTAGAAAAAGGCCCTTCGTGAACAAGAGGACAAGATATATAATTCGATGGAACTAATAAAAATATATTTGTACACGGAAAGAATTAAGATAATTAAAGAAGATCAATCACTTTCTTATTGTCGTGCGTTATGAGGTTTTGTATATGACATAAAGACCACACGTAAGTAATATACGTATATAATATTTATTGATTTCTTCATGTTAAAAAGGTAATAGTCGTCTTGCATACCTGCAGCTGTGCCAATAGCTACGCCTCCAGCCAGAGTCGAGTTTTGCACGTGTACCATGTTGAATTTGTTGTCCTTGGAAACCAATGCAGACACGGCGAACGTGATCACGCAGCTCGCGGATATTGATAACAGAGTGTTGATTATAGCCCGCTGTTGATCATCTCCCGTCAAAGCAGCGCTATTGAATGACGGCCAAAATAGCCATAAGAACACCGTACCTAAAGGCAATGGTTAATCATGTATCCTATTATCGCGAAGAAAGATACAAATTTTATTTAATAACATATCTAATCCTTATCATTATTACAGATACGCAAAACATATTTGGTACCAATCATGGCGAAAACATCTGACTGATAGTTCGAACCCTCCAAATCATGTTCCTTCGGTTTATCTTTCGTTCCGAGTACAAAACTAATTGCCAATCCAAAATACGCGCCAAACACGTGAACAAACATACTATCGCCAGCGTCAACAGCCTAAAAATGTGAACGAAGTTTATATAAATAATGTTTCTTTACAGGAAAGTATATCGTGTAACACTTATAATTAAGGATAATGCTGTCGTTTATTTTAAAATTTTCAAATAACATCGGTGCTATAAGATAGATAATTATTTATCTTTTAATTATCTAGAAATCTATTGTATATGATAATTTTAATTAGTTATACTTTATAACAATATGCAGCGAAATAAGAAATGTTAAATCCATATTTCTACAATAAAATCTAAAAAAATGTTTAATCTTCTTCCTTTCTCTCTTTTCTGTGTTTGCTTAAGCTTCCTGCTCTCCTCGTTTTATTTGTATCACTGTGTATTTTTTATTGACCCAAGCAAAGCGACATAGATTATGTTACCTGATAAACAACTTCATTTATAATAAACATTCGTCAGAATAATTATATCATGGGAATAACTAACGGTTGCGATAACTTTTAGAAATTTTATAAATATATTTTCAATAGATTTTTTATTATTTTGAAATATCTCTCTTGATTACTTAATAGTAGATTTTGTTTTACCGTTGACGATTCTCTGGCAAAACCAGAAATAAACTCACCATAAACAGATTCTCGCCCACGTACTTATTAATGGTGAACATGATCAACTCTACTATTCCCATGAACACCAGTTGCATATAGGTCACTTTGCCTAGAACTGCTCCCATGGAGATAAGCGGCGTAGCGACGGCAACGTCAGCACTAAGCAAACTAATAAGTTTCGCAATAAGCGTAACGAAGAAATGTTTTCATTTAATTGTTATATATAAATCATTTGTTTATTTAATTTTAGTGTAGAAGCAAAAAGAATGTTTCTTTATGCAAAGTAAAACTAATCTAAAATATTAATTATCTCATTACTTTGCCTCCACTTTAGTCTTTAATGCAATACGAATCAAAATAAAATACTGACCTGTCTAATGAGAGATAAGCTTTGCTGCCCAATTTTAAGTTCATTATACCGTCGCAGAGTAGAGCAACCTGGACGAGAATTGCGCCTACAAGGAAGGTCAGGCCAACAGCGCTCTGGCTGTATCTCTTTAGGAACGTCATCAGAAAGCCAAAACCGATCCAAATCATCACGTGGACATCTTGATACACTATATGATTTTAGCCAAATCCAAGAACAAAAAAAGAGCGTAGTGTAAAGCGATATATTCGCGACAATTGATGCATTGATAAGTGCATAAAGATTCCTTACTTCATTGTTTAATCTGCCTTAATCGCATGTAGTTACACAATAATTAATCGCAGTTCATAATAGGATGATGATAAAATATGTAATTTACAGTTTGTATAGATTTATTCATAGATTTCCACGCGTTGCTTATGTATCTTGATACTAAATGATTTGAAAAAGGCTGCAGCAGAGAATACACTTAAAAAAATAAGAATTCTCTAAAATAAAATTCTTTGTAATATTAATTTTTGTCTTATTGTTAGACTCTGTTGTGAATAAATGTTATTTCATCACTGTAACTATATTATTATAGTCTTTATTTGTATGTATAAATTTTTCTGTATAAATATGTTGTATAATCTAAAGTGGATTTTCTTTAATTCTGCTGATGCAAAGAATCGAAAATTAATTATATGTATACAACCCAGTAAACACCGAGCATCAGTAACAGCATTTATGTTACAATTCCTCACTCAACAAGGTAAATATGTAATAATATAACACACGTGTCATAATAATTTACATCAGTTGAGTGAGAAATTATAACATAAATGTAATGTAACTGTTGCTCGAAGTTTACTGGGAAATTATTATCTATAATTATATATTTCGTTAATACATTTCGTTTAATGTATCATAGTAATATTTGTTTCATATATTTCCATTTCTGTTGTTTCATATATTTCCATTTCAATCTCTATTGCTTTGTACATTTTACTTCATGCAGAATCGTATGTATTGAGATTTTCCTTCGTCATTAATTGAAATGTTTAACAAAAATTTGTTTAGTATCACCTTCTATTTTTATTCTGTATTAATTTTTATAATTTTCATTATTTCTTTCCAGTGTAAAACATTCTCATCATTTTAATAATAAAAACATCGAAAATCTTTCTTCCTTATAAGATTAAGATCATCGATGTGGCCAGACATCGATGTGGCTAGACAATTAAAACTAAAATTTTTATACTTTTACTTAACTTTTGAAACATTATATACGTTGCTTCAGATTTCGATAATAATTATACGTATTTCTTGTTATTTTAGGGAATTTTTTGGGGGGGACATGAAGAGGGCAGGATAAATCAAAAAGATGAGTTAACAGTAAGAAAAAAAATAATAGCAAGAAAAAGATAAGGGAAAAATAGAAATTGTGGAAAATGACACTAATACAGAACTTACATGTATATCTGACAGATAAAGAGTTCAAGTTTCCATTCAAATGAGGTGCGAAGCTATTTTGTCGATTACTGGCGTCCACCTCCGGGGCATAATTATATACGGCAAGAAAAGCACACAACAGAAAGCCCTCGATAAGAAGAAGTATGATCGCGTGTTCTGACCCGTCGCACATCCTCATTCGTACCACCATTGTGCAGAGATCGACTATACGCCAACGAAGCCACCGCATTGTGCGGCGTGTCATGCGGCAAATGCGCTCGGTCATCGTGAATTCTTTAAAATTATTGGCATTTTCGTACTTCATGGAGATTTCATTTCGGTGTATATGTACAATACACGAATTTAATTTGTCGTACGAGAAAGTATACGTATTACTCGTAATTTCTGATTAACGTCATTCTTGGAATATTAAAAAAGAATTAAAAATAAGTTAAAAATTTTCCAGTCCAAAAGGATGAAAAGTTTTTATTTCATTCTTTATAGATACACTTACAACTGCTAGAATGAATTTATATTAATTTTGTGATAATGCAATTGTTATTAGGCAGTTATTTCTAAAAACAAAAATGTATTGCGCGTAAATTAATTAAAATTACTACTACGAAGTTTAATTCTCTCTTCAGAAATAATTTTTAATAACTAATACTTTAAACAAATATTTTAGATCTTTTTTCAATTAAATTTAATATAAAATTTTTCGCAATCTTTTTACAGCAATCTTATTTCGTCATATTCACAGAACAGTTATGATTTATTGATTATAATAATGTATTAGTTGAAAAAGATTACGTGATTGATGATCCATTGAGTTTAATGATAAACTTATTATTCCAATTAGACGGAAACAACGTTGACATCACAATTCGTTGACGGATGCCGAAGATGGACTGTTCCCGACGACTGGCACCAACAACGTTTCTCCAACCAACCTCTTATGCACATGATAGCAGGTAGATGATAAAAATAAGAAAGGTCAAGGAAACCGTAACTGTGTTATTCACATGCTAAAGTGTATATTCTTTCCTTTGTGCAACGCATATGAATGTATACATGTGTAAGATAATCTACTTAAATTTTTCAACGCGACCTTTTTTCTGTTCGAAATATAGTCATTTCAAAAAATGTTTTAGGTTGAACGTACTTTATTTCGAATATGATTATCCTATGATTAGTATAATTTTGTTTCAGACGCTTTGTTAAAATTTTAAAGCAATTTCTATTTGTTTTAAATAGAAAACGTATATATTTTTGCATATATCGATTTTTATCTCATTTTACTTCTTTCTTTTGACAGTGAACAAGAGTTGTTAAATATTTCTCTTTGCTCTTTCTCCTTCATCTTTCCTTTTCTTTCACGGAAAAACAAATAATTTAATGGAGAGTCTTAAGTTTTACTTACTTGGATAAACTCGTAATGGATCGTCAGATGGTTTCTTGGTTTGACCAGATTTATCAGCGGTACCTAGAAGTATATAATTAATATCGATATTTTATACGCAACAATTTTATAAAATTTTTCCAGAAAAGAATTTTATTTTTGCTATTTAATTCTGAATTTATATTCTTCAACTTGGTAATAGTCTGCACGTATTTATGAACAAGAACATGAATTTGGCGACGATCATGTATTACATCACTAGTGATTTTTACATAACTATAAAATCACAATATTATGCAACTGTGGTTCACGTAAATGCATTTATGTATTTGTGTGTGTTTTATATACTACCATTGTGATTTTTGAGCAAATTAGCATTCGCCTCTGGACCATATGTCATCATCGTTCCTATTAGCGCGATTAGGATAATTTCAAGCAGAAACAGCATTAGTACCTGCTGCTTTCCAGTGACCGCCGAAAACATTATCTGCAAAAGAGGAAAACTCTATGTATTTGAGTCGTTAAAACTGTTATTTTTACTACGATTACATTATTAGTTTGCTATCAAAGATTTCTCGCTGATGTATTCTATTTTGCTTACGAGTGACACGAGTTTTTTATTTATAGCTAGTTTTTAATAATGGACAACTTGAAAAAAGGAATTATCTTTTTACTCCATTTTCGGTATTGTTATTATGATGTAGTTTTAGTTTTCATTGTGACAGTTTTATTATTTCTTTTTATGAAATTAAGAAATTTCTCTTTAAATTACCGAAATAAAAATGATTTAATTACTCTTATTTATAATCATTGTATTATGTATAATAATTTTTTATTTAGTATTCCTGGCGTGTTATTGAATTAAATTAAACATCTTATTCGATTACTGCATATTAAATTTTTATCTGTAAAGAGATCTGATTACATTTTTATTTAATGAAAGATGGATAACTTTCTAAATGTTATAAAGATTAAAAATATGCGATTGCTTAGAAGTAGTTGCCCATTTATATTTTTCTCTGATTAAAAATTTTTAATTATGTAATAATTAAAGATGATTTTCAAAAATGAGGATTTATAGATAAATATATCGAGAGAGAATAATTCGTCTTAAAAATCTAAAATAATATTCTTTTGTACACGTACACACATACATACGCACGTTTCTATACAAAGTTGTAATTTCTATGAGAGGACAAATATCTACATACACGCAATAATTTGCATATCAATCAGTACGATACCTTTCCCATCGTGTTTCAATAATTCAGTTTAATCAAACTGTCAGTCACGCCTCTCACACCGATGATTTTCTGCCTCGCACATTCACTGAAAGAATACATTTTCTCACTCACCTATGCAAATTAATTTATACGCTCATCTAATTTTATGAGAAGCGTGAAAAATGCTATAAATCCAAATTTATTTTCATTCATGTTAATAATTTTAGTGAAAAACAGAAACTAAATACACTCATCATCACATTTGTGTTCGTCCACCGTTACATTAATAAATTTTATTATTGACTAATTATATAAAATTATATAAAATATTTTTATCTTATTTCAACAACGTTTAAAAAAAATACAAATAAATTCTTGTATTTGTTTGCTCTGTGCATACGATTTTATTGTAGAAGCCACAGTACCGTAAGTCGCATACTGTCACAGTATAGTATAAGTAAGAACGGTAGGTATACTCACCCAAGAAGTTGGAAAATGAATATGTATGTAACAACCCAATAACATAACAATTGTAATGCGCTGTTTTGTTTATCTGATGATTAATTTTAAACTAGATAGGTACGTGTGAATATCGCAATATGTCATTAACTGAAGAAAATCCACGTATGATACGACAGTGTGTATGTCTTGTGAAAACATTTAACAAAGATACTTCATCGATGACTGTGACTTTGCGCTAGTTATGTCAAGATTTCAGTTGAAATATTGTGTCAAGTATCAATATAGTTGTTAATTAATGATAACAGTTTTAACAAACCGGTGGTATCAGCGATAAGCCACGGTCGTGCTGAGATCTCTATCAGATATCGTTCTCAAGTTTTCACAATGTATACGCGCCGCTGTATCGTGTAACATTCCATAATTAATTTGCCATATATCCTTTCTACAACTGCCAAAATGCAACTGACAGGAACGCATACATTCAAATTGACAGCTCATTCAAATCAGTCAGTTACATTATATTTCCCATCCTGTATAAATATGGTAACTGCACGATAACTGATGGTACATAGTATAAGAAATGTAATTTATTTTTAATTATTGTTCGATTCAGTTGAACCGGTAAAGTCATTAAATCAATATTATTATTCCAAGTTGTACGTGCATTCGTAAATAAAAATATATCAAATGAATAAAATTCAAAAGGCTCTACTGTGGTGAACACAATTTCGAAGAAATAAGGACTAGAGGGCCGTGAATTTATGTAATAATTTTTTAGTTGTCCGTTTGAATTTGTAATATCTATTATTTTTAACCTTTCAGTAGCTCGTTTTATTATTGGCCTTTCTCCTTCATAAAAGTAAAATAAATTAAACAGTATACTTTAGAGAAAACATGTTCCTTTTATCAAAGCATATGGTAAAGAAAATATACGTATATAAACTTGCGGGAATAAATATTGTAGAAAAAAAAAGAGTTGAGTTTTTGATTTGTTGTATACAAATATACAATTTCATTGGAAAGATTGAAAATATTTTATTTTTATATAACTTGGCAAACATGAGCCTTCAAAACTTTTTAAAATTATTAAGATCGTCAATAATAAAATTAATGAATTGAGGATTACACAATAAATCCATCTTTTTTAAAGAGAATCCATATATGTATTTGAACATATTATGACATTTTTCACATCATATTGCATATTCTATATAGATTAGAATTTTGTTTTGTATATTGTGTCTCTCCTACGTACATACTAGTAAATACAGAATACCACAGTGTTAAATTTATTAAATTCAAATAGCAAATTCAAATGGTCAAAACAAGAGCTACGGTGAAAATGGTTTTGTTGAATAATCTATATTGGTACAGCTGGTATAGATGAAGTACGTTTCTATACGCTATTGTTTATCTTTCTATAGTGGACAGGATCCAATTACACTGCAGCCGCGCAAGTCCAATTGTCACTGACTTCACTTTATGGGTACACATTATTTCTACTGGACCATTACACTTATACATTTCAATACAAGAAAATTCACTCTTTGTCATTGAATTGAGTCACTATAACGCCGAGCGTTTTACATAACATTAATCATAATACAACATACAAGTATAGCAATAACTGCAAAGTTATTACCCAATTTCAGATCTTGTTTTCACTCTGAGCGGGCCGTTGTCGACGTGGGAAACGTCGCTCGTTGCACGATGTCGCAAATCGTTCTGCCTTGTTTAAGCCTCGTTTAAATATCCCTACTGAGGGTCGCTCCGTGATCATCACGCCTGTTTATATGAACCCCAAGCCGTAGTAAATTACCAACAATTGTCATCTTTATCTAATTTCGTGTGTCCTTGTCATTTCATCGAGATACTTGATTTCCAGAAATAGGAGAACTCGAGAATTGATCTACGTATTCGAATCTCGAGACTAAAATTAACTTACACTGGTAATAATTCAGAAACGAGAACTTAATCAATTGATGCCGGCATTTAAATTTTGATACGATTATTAATACATTTTAAAGTATCAGATTCTTTATCGTGTAATTAAATAAGTACCTTCTTAATTCTGTGTACATATATGTACAATAATAGATGAGAAAATATTATTATGAAACTTAACATGTAATCTGTTGTTAATTACAATATAATTACAATATAACCAAGTGGTAGTAACAAAATGATTTAAGAAATAATTACCAAAGTTTGCAATAAAGTTCGATCAATTCAAGAATAATAGGTCAACTGACTTACTGCTTGTCTTACTATTTACATTTTTCCATATGTGTAATACTATGGCTTGGAACATCTTCCATTATAATGTAATTTAGTATTTAATGAAAGCCGAAAACTTCGATATGATGAATATCAAAGATCCACTAATTATCTGAAATAAATATTCTCATTTGCTTAAGTCTAAGCAAAGTTCTGATAATTTGAAATTATTCGTGAATCAATTGAATTAAATTAAATTAAATTTAACTTACTCATTGGCGCTCCAGCAGGAATCACGATTTTTGGGTGGCAATTAACAAAACTAGTTATAAAAACATATGTACAGTCGTGGTCAAAAAGGTTGTCCGATAATAAATTTCGGAAATACAGTCTATCATGCGAGAGCTTTCACTCACGGATATGTGCAGTGACGCATTATTAGAGCAAAGGAATGATATGTACGAATACCTACGCAATGATACTTATGAATATTCCGAAAACTTATTGTAAACATCGAACAACCTTTCTGACAACGACCATACGCAAGGTTTTAATGTGGAGCTTCATGCTTTCATAGGGAAAAAATTCAAAATGTTTTGTTAGAGGTGGAGTGTAAGGTGGACCCCGCGTTGTATGAAAATAGAGACATTCTCATAGGTCTCTCGGAAAGTCGCAAACCCATGTGGAAACCGCACAACACGTGGACCTAGCTTCGCCCCGAAAGCAGGGGTCAATGTGGGGTGGGTTCGCTTTACGTAGAAATTCGCAAACCCACGTGGAATCCTACAACGCGTAGACCCAATTTCCAACAAAACTACTTTTCCGGATCATTGTGAACGTGTCTATGAATTTTTCATTCTTGTCAACGTTTTATTCACATACATAAATATTTATTTATTTAATTCACATTTAATCAGTGTAATATAATCAATTTATTATAATATAATATATGATTTATATATGTCTGATTTCTCATGTATCTGTCATCTTTATTATCTATAATAAATGGTGAAAAATTAATTATTTTTAACTAACTATTATGTTATGAATTATTATAAGTCTTAATGTGGATCTATGGCATTCTTTAATTTGTAGTCGCATTTTCATTTAACATTCAATTTGCTAACACTAACTGTTAAATTTATAAAATTAATTGTTGTTAATACGTTGAAGTACGTTCTCTATATGTGATTAATAAACTGAAAAATATACATATACTGATTATGTGGCGAATATATTAATCATGCAACAGCACAATTTGTAAAACACATATACATATAAAGCGGGTGTACAATATGCATAACGAAATTGTGTAATACAGATCGTTATTACAAAATTACTGCAATTATCATTAATCGTTTTGTTACAATTTTTCTCACTCTGATACCATTATCTTCACAGTTTCTACAATATAATCCCTTAATTCTTTTAAATACAATTATGAGTTTGCTTTTGTAGAATGTGTCTTTAAAAAAATTATAATTTTTCAAATTTCTTTGAAACATAACAAAAGCTATTTGTAAAATTTCTTTACAGATTAGATTATACCTTTTGAAATAGAAAAACCCTACACACAGCAAGCAGGAGTTACAACAACGTGCAATAGATTAAATAGGACTATTTTTCAGTAGAAAACTGGCTTTACAAACATATTATCTATTAACGATGACATCCTATACATCCTATACAACTGCGCGTGCAAGGATAAGAATGTGAGAGACCGTCTTTGATAGCAAACAATACTTACACGTAACCATTCAAATGCGGTTATAAACTATACGTCCTCGAATGTCTTAAGAAATAAATTCTATTGTAACACAGATTTATATCTATAGAATTACTTGCAACATAAATGTTTGCACTAAAATTTTTAAAAATTATTCATAAGATTTTATAAAAGATTACTTCCTCCTCTCTCTTTGCCACGTTTATTATATTATAATATTATTTTATTATGTATATTTATATGAACAATATAATTTGCATTTTAAGATAAATACAAAATTAATAAAAGCAATAAGATTTTAGAGCGCTGATTTAACAATTTATATAATTTAGCGATTGTTTCTATATGTATTTATATTTAGGAGAATGTAATTAAATACCAATCAATTTTTTTAAATACAATAATGTAAATCATTCTGTATCTTCAAGTATTAGAAATAATAATAAATTTTTATATAAGATCTAAAAAGTATTTTACTAATTATTAATGTTAACGAATTATTAATGTAATGCTGTTTATTAATATTAAAAGATAAATACATTTAAAAACGATATCCTTTTTTTGGTATATTTACGTATATATTATTTCTTTAATAGATATCTTAAAAAATATAATACAATTTTGTTCTTAAACTATTAATTCGTACTTACCTTTATTTTGTGCAACTGCTTTTCCAACAGAAATGATGAAAAGGTTGGATGGATAAACTCTCTTTTATGCTCACAGACTACTTTTACAGGGAACTATCTGTCTCTTTAAATCGCTTTTGCATCGTGAGTCTTAGATGAAATTTTGGAGGTCAAGCTGGTATCGACAAGAAATAATAATATGATTTTGCGAATGGAAACACGAGACGTCTGACCACGAGGACAAGCAAAACGATACTCGGCCGAAGAAACCGAATAGTTCAATGCCAGTGGGCAGATGACACGCGATCGATTTGCTCTGCTCAGGGAAATCGACGGTCAACATGTACCGATATAATTAGACTGTACGTCGAACACGAGACAAACAAGTCGCCATTTGTAGCGGCGTACTGACATTCTGTGACTTCTTCGGCTCCCAGTAATATATTTCTACGAGGAAGATATATGAGTCGCAACTAGAAGCTGCTTCATTTTCATAACAGTTTCTTACGCAAACGTGTGTAGGAATATCTGGGCGAGTAGAGTTAAACATAAGAGACAAGCGGAAAATTGGTAGCCTTGGGTGGGATCTATTTAACGCTTGTAACGCTCATGAACATTATAGAATGTACAGTGAATCTGTGCAATAGCATAAACGTATTTTGATATGTTGCATGTAAATATATATTAGTAGAAACCAATTTAATTGAACTTTATAGTCCTGTTAAATCATTTCAAAGAAACATTTTAAAGTTATTCGAAATTGTAAAGAATAAAGTCAATTCAACATTTTCAAGACTTTTTATCCATACCTACTTTTCATTAAATTTAAAAATTTTTTTTAGCCAAAATAAACATTATTTAATTCTAATTCTCTTATGTTTTGACAGTATGAAATAGGATAATTAAAATCTGCATCATTTTATAATACAACTTGAGAAAGCAAACAATTCAATCTCTTGCTTGCACTCTTTATCACTTCCAGCTAAGTGTCGTAAATCCAGATGACATGTAACTTGAACGCGACGATTGTCGTGTGAAAATCCGCCGAATGTGAGTTTGCACAAGAGTTCGAGAGGCGGCATTTAACTCGAGAGACAATATCCCGTCGCAGTACTGCCGTCGTGTCACCGATATTTCCA